CGGGTGGTCAGGCGGCGCGGCGGGAGGGGCGGCGCAGCGTGGAGGCGCGCGGCGGGGAGGAGGGGGCGCGCGGGGAGGAGAGGTGGTGGAGGCGGCGTGGGGCGGCGGCGGCGGCGGCCCGAGGCGGCGGCTAGGGTTAGCGGAAGCGGGGAGATCGACTTGCGATAGATACCATATAGAGAATAATTTTGTGCATCGATGATTGATTGATCGTGCACTAGGCACATATATATAGGTACAAGGGGTGCGACCGGTATCTTGTCTCCCAAGATATACGTACATACAGGGGAAGAGAGATACTACAGGTACTGCATATAAAACCCAGACCTACATACATGTATATGTGTTCAACACATGGGACGTGCCGTTGCTGGTGGCACTATTAGTTTTCTTGGCCCGAGCCTATTCTTTCAAGTTTATTCAGAGGTCGATGTGGCCCTGCTCATTGTTAATTTATGCCACCGTACTTGTGCTGCTTTTACTCATATTAGTGGGTAATGGTATTTTCTATACAGAAATCTCCATCACCACAGTATTTGTGCTACTGAGACTAATGAACTTCCATAGTAACAGTTTGGATGATTCAGAAAGAGACATGTCATAATATTGTAAGACAGGGCGAAAACTATGGAGAAAATGAGAAGAGCTTTTGGTTCATTTTTTAGTTGAAGAAACTGTAGAAGTTGCTGGACGCAGCTTCCTTGGTGCCAGGGCTTGCCCAAGAAACTTGTTGAAAGAAATGGACTAGAATAACTGGAGGACATAAGGGAAAAAAAAAGCAGCTCCATCACCATAAATTAGAAAAAGTTCACCCCACATTATGAAAGCATAAGAGAAATGAAAGGAATAGAAACCGGGGCAATGAACGAGCCCAGCACACGCGCCAGTTAAGTGCGAAACAAAAAAAAAATGCAGGCCTTGGTGGGCTGGCCCAGCGTTTCTGGCATAGTAAAAAAGAGGGCACCTGTAGTACAACGTGAGCTCCGCGGTGGCCTATTTGTTAGCGTGCAACGCCTCTAAACGGCAGGTCGAAGGTTCGACCTGATGCACGGGCCTCACCGGGCAGATACACCGTCAATACACGTTTATACGTATTTGTTCAAGTGGACGGAAATTTTCAAACCAGTCCGATTCAGTGATGGAAATTGCAAACGAAAAAAGCCTCTCAGGAGCCTTTTTCTCGCAAAATAGATTGGCCATTTTATGTGATTACATAGAAAGCAAGGGGTTTTATGCAAAAAATGCCACGTTGACACCTGACGCACGGGCTCGCCGGGCAGATACACCATCAATACACGTTTATACACGGTTTAGACCTTTTTGTAACTGTTAGCCTCAGACTTGGCACTGACATGTAAAAATTAGTAAAAGTGGTGCCAATCTGCACGTAATGCCCCAATTGCATGATACTTTCGTGCAGTTAACTCTGGTAAGTTGAAGGACCTGGGTGCGACGGTTCAGTGTTTAAGTTGGTTGTGTTGGCCACCTTCTAGTATAAATGTTCAGAATCAGGCATTCGTTGTACTACTGTCTCCTATGTTTTCAGTTACTCCGTTTCTTCTAAACTTTGAAGAAAATGGAGAGCGAGAGAGGCCTACACAGTAACAATAAGCACCCACTGCAGAGCGATGAACCGACCCATCGATCTCCGGAACAACAAACTTTTGAGATTGCAGCCTCCACGAAATCGCTTCGCATCATCAATTAGTACCCCAATCAAGCCAGGACGCATCATCAACTCAACGGAACATCTCTTGCCAAAGGATACGAAGAGTCTCCAAAACGCCAGCAAGAAGCCAAGAACAAGGCAGGATGACATATTTACATGCATGCACCTCAAAGGATCTGGAAGTAGCAGTAAGAAGCAAAATTCAAGGTGGAGATAGGACTTTTTTTTCGCGAATACGCAAGCTGCGTATCTTTGTATTGATAGAAGGAGAGTACAAGCATGGGATTACAACGCTTACAAGGCCATGTATGCGCAAGGCATGGTGAACAAGCGAAGGAGCACAACAGGCAGGGGTGTGCTCAGCCCCATGGCAAGAAAACTAGAGACTACGCGCCATGGATAATGTTATGCAGTCCGGCGGCGCCCGCCTTGGCCCAAAGACGCGCCTCGTCCTTGATGGTGTCGGAGGTGAAGGTAATCGATGGCGTCGCTCCGTCAAAGATGCAAGCATTTCGTTGCTTTCTGTTAGACTGTATTTACATGTGTATATTGTAACGTTGTATACCACCTCATTATATATATATGTGATAGGCCACCCCCTAGAGGGTTGTGCCGGTTCCCCCCAAAGCTTATTGTCTTACACTTTCAAATCCACCAGGCCGAGAGGATGACGAGGGAGGATAGGCCCTTGCGCATGGAAGTGGGCACGATGTCGAGCGAGGATTGCCATTCCAATTGTGGTGGAGATAGGACTGAGCAAGTACCTGCGGAATTCATCCCTCATAGAAACAAACAAAATAAGATGTCAATAAAAACTTTGCCACATTCATCCCAGAAAACGAGTGACGTGCCAAGGAGTTTCCCAACAAGAAAGAGCAGCTTAAGCTAGAACATGCTAATATGCATACTCGGCTACATTGATGTATGGGTTACTGCATTTTGCAACAGAACGAGACAATGTAATTGTTGAGAGACTCTGAAAATTTAACATGAGAACCGGATGAGCAGCTGCAGCAGCAAATCTCATACTGGTGATGTTCCTAATTATTTGGGTCGTTTACCCAGGATATGCATGCCTGGCAGTGTGCAGCTAAATTTCCTTGGTCCGTTCAATAAGAGAGTGTTGGTGTGTCCAGCATTAGACATAACACTGAAGTTCCCAGTCTGCTACTGAAGCATCTACAAGACTTGGTATGAATGTCTGATCTCCTCGTGTGATCAGTAGAATATGTGCTTAAAAATTCAATGTGTTCCACAAAAGTTATGACATACGTTGCTTAGAAAACTATTGATATTTAGAGGGAGATCCAGCCGGCCGCCGCGCGCTCGAGCCAATCTATACTAGGAGTTACGCCCAGTTGGCTTTGTTGAGTGTACCACTTGGGGAATGTCTTGCCGCGGAGCCGTCTCGAGCCAAAGCAAAGCTTGAGGCGAGCTCCTCGCCGAAGCACCAAGCGTGAGCCGGCTTGGCTGACAGCTGGAGGCAGGCACAGCCTGACCTTGGCTCGCTTGGCTTCCAACCTGTCTCGCCTGGCTTGCTATCCCGGTCAGCCAGATGAGGTCTGCAGCGCACGAGGCTCAGAATTTCACTGAAGCTGCAGATTACCTGGAGAAGAGAAACCTGCCGGGGGCGAACCGGAGGCGAAACCTAGCGCAGCCGGACCAAAGAGGGAGCATCTGAAGTAGGATTATACAAGGACGCATGGAATAGTAGTAACAAGCAAAAAGATCAAGATTAACATTAAACGAAGTACCTGCAAGCAAGCAGGACTGATCCACCCCCAGCACAAGCAAGTAAAAACGGCATGCCGTTTTGAATGATCAATGGGGGATCAAAAGAAAAAATTGCACAAGCATTGGTTTGAGGAACACTGGAACGATAACTAACAGAACACACATCTAGTGTAGCTGATTAATAACTGGAGAGTTTGCAAAGTGCTAATTGATACGGCCGAGACAGCCCGGCTGAACCAAAGATTGCACCAAGGCAAATCAGCGCATAGAAAGTACAAAAAATGGTAACTAGACATTGTCGACACGTTGGCACCTTGAGGCTCTGAGTTCATTCAACAAAAGAATAGTGTGTCTGCCCAGCGTCTACCAGGCCACTGAAACTCTGAAAGTACAAACAACAGTAAGCTGGATGAACGCCCACATACGTGACGCATCGGCGCATGTCCTTCTCCAGGGCTTCCATCGACCTCTGACATGTTGCCACACCATAAGACCGCCTGAGTCAAATCGGGAGCGATCATGCGGACATTAGTGACTGACCTTAAGAAAAATCTCAACTGCAGCATGTTTAAAGCAAACACTACAGCCCGTTTATAAATAAATGCAGGCAGGGGCTAGCTATAATAGGCAACAACGGAAGAGAGACAAGGTTCTGGGAATTAGTATACCTGATGAATTAGTAAGACGTAGTTCGCACCCAACACGCGACTTTGGTGGTAGTAGATTACTATGGATTCCACTACCAGTACCCAGATTGATCGTTGATGCCAACAACAGAACTCCATCATGAATTCGAGCAGCAGCTGAATTGAGCCCATTCAACAGGAGAGACTAGTGTGTCTGTCCAACACCAACATATGGGCACTGAAATACATCAGTTTGATACCAAGTGGGTAGCACTGATAATAACTGGGACAGTTAGAATCTATTACAGTGATAGCAACCGTACATTGCAGTGCAAAAATGTGTAGCATGATAGGTAGAACCCGAATTGTTGGGGAAAAAGAAAAGGAAATAAACTTTTGAATTCAAGAAACTGCAGTAACAATAGCAACAAGCAAACTGTGGAAGAGTGACCCTCCGTCCCAAAATAAATGACTCAACTTTGTACTAGTTTTAGACTTCTAACTTTATACTAAAAGTCTAAAACTAGTACAAAGTTTAAAAGTCTAAAACTAGTACAAAGTTGAGTCACTTAGGGCCTGTTTGGTTTCAAATAAGTCACCAACTTATAAGTCGAAAAGTGAAAAAAGTGACTTATTTTGCCAAACAGACCCAACTTATAAGTCACCCCAACTTATAAGTTATAAGTTGCTCCACCCCAACTTAAAACTTATAAGTCACCCCTTTTGCATGGATCCTACCACCTTTTTGGTCATTGATTGGATAAGAAGGTGTGGCCAGTGACTTATAAGTCAGGTGACAACCAAACAGGCCTGACTTATAAGTCACTGGTTTTAAGTCACCTGACTTAATGGAACCAAACAGGGCCTTATTTTGGGACGGAGGGAGTATTACCACAACCAAGAGAAGAAGAAACAGCATACCTATGTATGCGTGGTCTCAATTTACAACAGAGAAGCCGGATGATTGCATATTAGCAGAATTGACAGTTGAAGATTAGAGTAAGGTTGTTATTGGGATGTGCGCTGACCATTCTCTTCACGGAAGCCTTTACGGCATCTGGGCAATCGAACTCACATCTGAAACTAACGAGGCTGGAGAGATTCTCGATCCCGAAATCCAAAGCACCAGAACTGCTAATATACTCAATGTCAAGACAGTCAACAATAAAAAGCGTCAGCTTTTGTAGCATGGGCATACTTCTTGCTCCAAACATGAGACTGAACATCGTCTCATCCGGTACCACATAGGTAAACACTCTCAGGCATCGGAAGCCAGTTTCACGACTGATTGTCAGCTTTCGATCTTCACAATGAGACTCAGATTTCAATGTTAGTTCCAGAGTGAGCAGAGCGGGTAAGGCTCCAAGCAAGCACAAATCTTCATGCTGGATACTCTCCAATTCTAAGCTTAACTTCTGCAGGTTCATCAGCGATCCCACCCAGTCCGGAACCTTCGTGAAGCTTGAGTGCTGGATAAAAAGTTTCTGGAGATCAAGCTGCGGGGAGGTACACCATGTGTTCAATAATGTGCTGTCACCAGCACACGACAGAGTTAGAGAACGAAGGTTCTGTGCGCAAAGGTTATGGAGAGAAGAAGCAATAACTTCCTTGTGCTCTTGGGCGACTTGCCAATGAGAAAAATGCAGCTTCCTCAGATTCTTTAGCTGCCCAAGCTCTTGCAGAAAGTTGTATGACTGCACGGAGGCCCTCAACCATTTCAATGTCTCTAGGGCTTGCAAGTTTGCAATTCCATCAGGAAACTTAACACTATCGTGAACAAATAAATGTGTCAATTTCCTGAGACTGACAATGCCGGCTGGTAAATCGTTTAACTCTATAGCACTTATGTCCAATATCTCTAAGTACCGTAGATGTCCGATATCTTCTGGGAGATCTTTTACATGTGTTATGTGTATGTTGAGGTATCTTAGCTGTAACAATCTCCCTATATTAGCAAGATGGCGGTTTTCCAATTGTTTGCAATTTTCAAAGTCCATAACACGCAAATGCCTGAACTCCATCATTGAAGGGATTTCCACTCTATCCGCAAACACATTAAGTGATCGAACATGGGACAGTGACAGGCCTGTCGGCACAACAGAAATTCCTTCCCCTTCAACTTGTATGGACAGCCGACGAACTATGCTTTGTGTCTGGGTAGTTAAACCGGGGACACCAACATAAGTAACAAAGTTCTCTTCAATGGACTTGGATATTATGAAATCAAGAATTGTGTCATGAACTCGACAAGCACACACCTCTTCACATTTATCAAACAATACGAGTTGGATCAAACTCCTATTGATGAGCTCATTAAAACATCTCTTTCCTATCTCGTATGCTGTATATTTGCCTTCTTTGTGAATGAGTCCTTCGGCAATCCATCTACATATCAACATGTGCCTGTGAATGCAAGAGTCTTCTGGAAATATACTTACATACAGAAGACAACCTTTCAGACGAGGAGGCAGATAATAATAGCTAAGTGACAATATCTTTATCATTCCTTCGACACTGGGATTTCTTTCAAGTGCACGGCCAATCGAATCTTTCACTTGATTCCACTGCTGCTCTGTTTTTTCTGTGTTGGCCAACAAACCAGATATAGCAATGATGGCCAAAGGTAATCCACCACATTTCTTCAAAATCTGATCAGAAGCTTTTTCAAGAGATGAAGAGCAATCTTCTTCGGAGTTGAATAATCTTCTATGAAATAACTGTTTTGAGTGCACCATATTAAGAGGTTTTATATTGTATATATGTCCGCCAATTGATGAACGACATGAATACGCGACATCAATGACACGAGTAGTGGTGATTATTATACTTCCACAACTGGTCATGGGGAATGCGTGTCGAATGACATCCCATGTTTTCACATCCCATATATCATCAACCACCATAATGTACCTACACATGTTTAATGAGTGATACATTAGTTATTACTCCATCTGTCCCATATTAATTATCGCTCAAACAGATATATCTAGCACTGAAATACGTCTAGATACATTCATTTCAGCGACAACTAATATTAGAAGGAACGAGTAGTTAGTATGAATGAAAATGAAGTGTAGAATAAAAGGAGAAGAAAGAAAACCTTAAGTTTTTCAATTGACAATGAATCAAATAGCATACACCAGAATAATAGTCTCCGTATAGGCAGTTCATATAAGAATATAAGATAACAGATATCTTGTAGCATACGTGCTTGATTGAAGGATCAATGGTAATAATTGTAATAACAAAATAAGCAACTTTCGCTTTATGCATTATACGAGGCACACAACTGAAGACATCTGCTAGTTATTTATTGCGCCTATATGCCTTAATTTGCCTCCAATATACAAACATCACTTTCTTTTTCTAAGCCATAGTAAAATATTTTTACGGAACTATGATGAAAAATCTAAATAGAAAATTTATACACTAAAGAATGACAGGTAACCTAAAATGAATATATAAATGGTACCTTTTCTCCCGCAGGGCATCGCTGATCTTACATATCAGTGTGAGCATAATCCTTATTACTAACTTCGCTGAGAATGGTTCTCAAGATATTCATCATGTCCGGGTTTCGTGACACTGATACGAAAGCCCGACACTTGAACTGCCCTTTGAGCTCTTGATACACTTGGTTCGCAAGAGTAGTCTTGCCCATTCCTTCAGATCCAGCGACGGAGACCACCTTCAGTGCCCGCTGGGTTTGCACAACTCCATCCTCATCGGTCAACAATTTGATTACCTCGCCTTTTGGCTCATCAATTCCAACAAGCTTTGAGGCATGTTCAAAGATAGCAAGGGCTCTAGGGTCAACAGCTGCATTTTTGTTGTTGGAGAAGGGCTGACGAGTCTTGTACCTTTCATTTTTCTCACCCACCTCCACGATTTGTTTCTTCAGATCTTGGATTTCATTGCCAATCCGATGACGATTCTTCATCTTCCGAAACTTCCCGAGTGAGTGCTTGATCTTGTCCATGAAGCCATCCGGCTTAGTGTCCTTGTCACCGAGATGTTCCATGAAGTCATCGATGCAGTCCTCCATGCCATAGGAGACCTTCCGCACCTCATTCATCCACTCCTTATCCTGCACACTAGGGTCCTCCTCCTCTGACATCTGCAGGAGAAAAGCCTCCATGGCCTTGAGCTCATGTGAGAGGGACCCGATCTCTTTGCGCACACCTTTGAAACGCTTGTACTCGTTACCGAGCAGAGTTGCCAGCTTCCCGATGACAGGTTTCAGGGCCCCCGTCGCCACACTCACCAGCGCCGCCTCCATTGTTTCACCGGTGTGGCAGGCTAGGTCAGAGCTTGCTAAGGTATGTGTGTGTGGATGTGCTTGTAGGAGTGTAGGTGGAACAGACACTCCCAACCTCAGGCTTATACTCTAGACGATCGCATAAACCGTAGGTAGTCGTTTTGTTAACTCAAGATTGTTAATTAACCCCAGCTAACCCCCAAAGAGAAGACAAAAACGCGTCGATCAATGTCAGTCAAACTGCATGCTCTCTTATTTAAGTTGATGAGATCTGAAACCATTAATTGGCCGGCAGGAAGTATACCCTCTCATTTATTAACCGATTTCTGTTTCTATGATTCGGCGTGAAAACAACAACCTACTACACCCCTCTCCCTCGCGTCGCCTCCCCCTAGGCGACGCCAGGGCCCCCCGATCCCTAGCGCCGCAGGCCTCCTCTCGCGCCTCCCTCTGCCGCCGCTGCTGCCGGCGAGGGCCGCGGTGATGGCGGGCCCGGCGCCGAAGGCACCTGGGCTGGTTATTGCTTTTATTAAGACATTTTTTTTATGAATTCTGCAGAATAATTATTGTGACACATAATCTACATTTTTGATCAAATTGATAGCCAAACTTGATCCCTAGTAGAATACATAAGCACCAAATAAACTGAGACGGACGAAGCAACAATGCACTGGTTTCCTACAAGTTCGTCACGTCAGTCCTGGACCAGAGACCAAAAGACATTTAGCCGACAAGAGGTATATGCAAGCGCCCTAATTTCAGCAAGATTCGTTTGGCCTGTGTGAACTTTCATTAGTTAACCAAGGCAAGGCTGTCTCCATTTCAACTCTCCTCTACATCTGTGCATGCATGGGACCTGCCGCTGCTGTGTAGCAAGTGGCAGTAGTATTAGTTTTCTTCGCCCGAGTTATTCTTTTAAGTTCTGTTCAAAGCTCGATGTTACGTTGCCCTGCTCAGTGTCAATTTAATAAGTATCTGCGCTGCTGTCACTCACATTACTGTACTTGTGGGCAATCATTTTTTGTATACACAAATCTCCACCACAGCAGTATTTGCTCTACTGAAATTAAGAAACGTCCACAAATGTTTAATCACAGCTTGGATGATTCAGAAAAGAGATTTCATATTATTCCACATTCTACAAATATTTTAGGACATGGCGAATACTATTACAAAAAATTAAGAAGAGATTATATGGTACTCCCTTCGATCCATAATAAGTGTCATAATTTTGAACTACAATTAAGGGAGTATTTCTTTTAGTCCAAGAACTTGTAATAAGTAGCAAACTAGAGAGAGAGATGATTCGCAAAAAAAAACAAGAGAGAGATGACATTTGAATTGGGATCCTCGTCTGGCGATGGTGGGGGCGACGCGCGGCCCATGTCTCTCCCGCCGCCGGCTGTCGCGTTCCTCGGCACCTTCCCTCCTGCGGCTGTCTTCTCCACCCCCTCCTCGCTCCCGACCCCCCTTGCGCGGCGCGGGACGTGCTTTGGGCAAACCTCATCGAGGATGACGACCACTCTGCTGGAATGCCCATTGCTCGCCGACTTTCGGTCCCACCGCTCCCCTCCCCACACTATTGGCAGCGATCATCGCCGACGTATGCACGACCCCTAGGGTGGGGGCTATGCTAGTGTGCCCACGCCTAGGCCTCTAAGCTCTACTTGAGTGCCACGGGGAAATGGCTCGGCCTTGAGGACTGGGGTGCGCCGTCGCCATCCCCATGTCTAGTCTGTCACAGGATGTCTTGACCGAGGATTTGCCAGCGTCTCCTGGCAGGCTGCCCTCGCGTCGTACGGCAGTGTAGTCAGCGTTGCCTCCGGGCCGCCATTGGGTTTGTCGTTCTCATCAAGCTCCCCCTCGCCTACCTCTTGGTGTCGCCGATCGCCGTTTAGGCCATTCATCGCTGCCTTTGCCCAGTCCCAACTGCTGGGGGTAACGAAGGCTCCTCCCGGGGCGCACTCTCTGCCCATCCCATGTTGTCGTCGTCGATGGTGCTGCCCTTGGGGGGTGAGGAAACCCTCTTGGCTCGGGATGCCTGGTAGGGCTCCCCATTTGGCCCAAGTGCCTGACGAGTCTAAGACGGACGGTGGGATCGGCCAGGCCTTTCCCAACTTGTTACTGTCTACAAAGCTCGACTTGTTGCGAAAGGTTTTCGACAAGTTCAAGGGGTTGACTAAGATGAGACTTTCTCACCTGTAGCGATGCTTAAGTCTGTCCGAATCATGTTAGCAATTGCTGCATTTTATGATTATGAAATTTGGTAAATGGATGTCAAAACTGCATTCCTGAATGGATTTCTGGAAGAAGAATTGTATATGATGCAACCAGAAGGTTTTGTCGATTCAAAAGGTGCTAACAAAGTGTGCAAGCTCCAGCGATCCATTTATGGACTGGTGCAAGCCTCTCGGAGTTGGAATAAACGTTTTGATAGTGTGATCAAAGCATATGGTTTTATACAGACTTTTGGAGAAGCCTGTATTTACAAAAAAGTGAGTGAGATCTCTGTAGCATTTCTGATATTGTATGTAGACGGCATATTCTTGATTGGAAATGATATAGAATTTCTGGATAGCATAAAAGGATACTTGAATAAAAGTTTTTCAATGAAATACCTCGGTGAAGCTCCTTATATATTGGGCATCAAGATCTATAGAGATAGATCAAGACGCTTAACTGGACTTTCACAAAGCACATACCTTGATAAAGTTTTGAAAAAGTTCAAAATGGATCAAGCAAAGAAAGGGTTCTTGCCAGTATTACAAGATGTGAAGTTGAGTCAGACTCAATGCCCGACCACTGTAGAAGATAGAGAGAAAATGAAAGATGTTCCCTATGCTTCAGCCATAGGCTTTATCATGTATGCAACGCTGTGTACCAGACCTGATGTGTGCCTTGCTATCAGTTTAGCAGGGAGGTACCAAAGTAATCCAGGAGTGGATCACTTGACATCGGTCAAGAATATCCTGAAATACCTGAAAAGGACTAAGGATATGTTTCTCGTTTATGGAGGTGACAAAGAGCTACTCGTAAATGGTTACGTCGATGCAAGCTTTGACACTGATCCGGACGATTCTAAATCGCTAACCAGATACGTGTTTATATTGAACGGTGGAGCTGTCAATTGGTGCAGTTCTAAACAAAGCATCGTGGCGGGATCTACGTGTGAAGCGGAGTAGCTGCTTCGGAAGCAGCAAATGAAGGAGTCTAGATGAAGGAGTTCATATCCAACCTAGGTGTCATACCTAGTGCATCGGGTCCAATGGAAATCTTTTGTGACAATACTGGTGCAATTGCCCTGGCAAAGGAATCCAGATTTCACAAGAGAACCAAGCACATCAAAATACGCTTCAATTCCATCCGGGACCAAGTCCAGGTGGGAGACATAGAGATTTGCAAGATACATAGGGATCTGAATGTTGCAGACCCGTTGACTAAGCCTCTTCCATGAGCAAAACATGATCAGCACCAAGGCTCCATGGGTGTTAGAATCATTACTGTGTAATCTAGATTATTGACTCTAGTGCAAGTGGGAGATTGAAGGAAATATGCCCTAGAGGCAATAATAAAGTTATTATTTATTTCCTTATATCATGATAAATGTTTATTATTCATGCTAGAATTGTATTGACCGGAAACATAATACATGTGTGAATACATAGACAAACATAGTGTCACTAGTATGCCTCTACTTGACTAGCTCGTTGATCAAAGATGGTTGTGTTTCCTAGACATACACATGAGTTGTCATTTGATTAACGGGATCACATCATTAGGAGAATGATGTGATTGACTTGACCCATTCTGTTAGCGTAGCCCTTGATCGTTTAGTATGTTGCTATTGCTTTGTTCATGACTTATACATGTTCCTATGACTATGAGATTATGCAACTCCCGTTTACCGAAGGAACACTTTGTGTGCTACCAAACGTCACAACGTAACTGGGTGATTATAAAGGAGCTCTACAGGGGTCTCCAAAGGTACATGTTGAGTTGGCGTATTTCGAGATTAGGATTTGTCACTCCGATTGTTGGAGAGGTATCTTTGGGCCCTCTCGGTAATGCACATCACTATAAGCCTTGCAAGCAATGTGACTAATGAGTTAGTTGCGGAATGATGCATTACATAACGAGTAAAGAGACTTGCCGGTAACAAGATTGAACTAGGTATTGAGATACTGACGATCGAATCTCGGGCAAGTAACATACCGATGACAAAGGGAACAACGTATGTAGTTATGCGGTTTGACCAATAAAG